AGATCAGGAGAAACAATAAAATGTCAGGCACAAATTCTTCACCTCAAATAAACTCAGAGGGTTTGCAGTTCACCAGGCAGCTTGACTCTGGTTCAGTACGACAAATGAGGAAGGTTTTTGGCACTGCACAAGGCCAAAAAGAGCATCCTGGGATGCTCTGTTGATGCAGATTTTTAAGGTTAGAAAGGATACTTTTGATCACAGGAGAGATAGAAGTCGGGTCAGCCTGGTCTCTCTGTATTCTTGAAAAAGGCTCCAAAATCCCTTTCTGGATCACGTATTAACAGTTTTGGAGATGGGAAGTGCGAGCCAGCTGCAGCCTCCATTGCAGAGCATCCTTCAGGACTTCCACATAGCTTCCACTTCCTCTGTCATTACAACTGACTAATGCAGGAAGGCTGACATCGAGTCCATCCCTGACTTCATGCAATGAAAGCATAGGTTGGCCAAGGAGTACCTACAAATGTGTGATTAGTTCACCTTTGCCATAGACAAAATCTATCACGTTGTTACCAATACAACAGTGATCATATTTTCTGGTGGTTTTTTTTTTATTATTTCTTATTTAATCAGAGAGGTGGAAGAAGCTTAAAGTCATTAGGCAAATGTTGCACAAATGTTGCCTCAAATTCAAATTTTGTTGCTTAGGGGACAAATAAAATAGGCAAGGGAACTCTCAGAGGTTTATTTTTCTCCAGTCCACGATAGCTTAAGTCCCTGGCTTCATCACCTATGGCTTATTCCAGTTGGCAGCCTTGCTGCTCATTGGCCCAGTGAGCGTACCTCCAGGCATAGGTATTGCTCACTAGCTGTTTATGCTTTATATAAAAGGAATTATACACAAAAGGGCATTCTGAAATATGGAATTGTATAAAAATGGCATTCTGAATTTAAGCCCTACTTTGTTAGCAGTGATGTGATGCTAACACACAGAAAATCTTAACCAAAGGCAAAGAATTAATATAGCATGTGCTCTCTTGCATGTATTTTGGAAAATTCTGTGGAGTTTCAGACTAACTTGGAAGTTATGTGCAACAAAAGCTACATGTAGAAGATACATGGATAACTGCAGTACAGCATAAATGTGGACAAGATTCTATGTTGTACCTCTGAGATGGACAGATCAGTCCTCATGCCTGAGAAGGAAGAAGCTCCAGGACAGCTGTAACTAGGTTATGAGACCATTGGTAGCCAAGGCGTTCCCTCTTCTTCCCTTTTCTGCCTGCCCTGGAAAGCTGGCTACATTGCTTAGACTGTGGTCAGTGCTGTGATTGCTGCAGCTTCCCAGCCCCAAGCACATCTCTTTTGGCTGTGCTTGCAAAACTGTCACAGGAACGTCACCTGTAGTTCCCCTACCAAAGAAGACCTTCACCAGCCATATATGGTGTGAGCTGCAGCATGCAGCAGGATGCAGCTGCCCTTCTCCAGCAGCATGCAGTCATTTGCCTGAATGGCAACATGTTCATCTGCTATATAAATATAAATCTGAGGATATATTTGTATGGGATCATAGAATCACAGAATACTTAGAGTTGGAAGGGACCTTTAAAGGTCATCTAGTCCAACTCCCCTGCAATGAACAGGGACACTAATGCTAGATCAGGTGGTGCCTCGCCTTAAAAGTTTCCAGGGATGGGGCATCCACACCTCTGGGCAACCTGTGTCTGTATATATAGATAGACAAATCTCAGCTTTAAGATGACTAGGTACTTGTTGTACATGTAAGAAATCCTTAGTGCTGATATGGGAGATCAAATCCCTAGTACTAAGAACTCCATGTGGAAAATGATTCATTGTCAAAGATAACTCCAATGCACAAGCTTTAAATGAGCTCCCCCACCTCACTTTATAGTTATCAGTGTTATCTTTATTAGCAGTTGGTTGGGTCAGACCTGCTATACCGGGAAACACACACAAAGACTAGCAGGAGGAAGCCGATAAAAATAGAAGATATGAGCAATCAGAAGTAAGCAGAACATTCTTTACAGCTGATAACTGAAATTATCTTATATCATATTTCTATGGTATCCTGTTTCAGTTTTACACGTCGTTATCGCTAAGCCAAACTCACTTGCTAATCTCCTTATCCAGCTGCAGCCATCAGCTGCGCATGTGAAACCTCTATGAAGCCTTTCTCAAGCAATTGCTCAAGGAACCAGCACAAATGCAATTGCTTTGCAGAGGAGGCTGGGAAAGGTCACGTTGTGTTTTACCAGTGAAACAGGCAGGATTGTTTTCCCTGAAACTGAAGCTGTCCTGTCTGCTTGGCTGGCCTTGTGGGCAGCTTCAAGTGGAAAAATGGTTCTACTCAACTGCCTTCCAGTGGCAAGAAGCAAAGGCCCATAGCCTGCCAAAATACTCTAGCAAATAACTAAATTCATGATAGTTCTAGGGCAGGGCTTGCAAGAATGCTTGCATTTTGAGGCAGCCCTCAACAGTGTTTTTGAATGTGCTTCAGATGAAAGAAAAGGTAAAATTCATATAAATCTTATGGAAAATGCATAAGTACTAAATACAAAAGCGAACACGGTGGCCATCTGCTCTGATTTAGCAGAAGAAAGAATGATGATTCTCATGCAATACTTTCTCTAGTAGACCTGGATTTTCTGGTTGGGCTACAGTGCATTATTTTCACAGGCACACCCAGCTTTGCTGAAGTAATTCTTCCACTCAGTCTGCAAAACCCACACACAGGAGTAGGGTCACCAACCTTACAAGACCTAAAGCCAAGCAAAACAGAATGTGGCACCTTAACGTGAGAGCATTTCTTCTGAAAAATGCTTAACTCATTATAATAGCAGTTAGAGAATGGGCACACATTGCACAGCTGATCTTCACAGCAATGCAGTTGATTTTGACCGAGGTCCAGTTGGATTCTCATTCTGATGCTGTTTCGAGGTGCAGTAGCTTTCATACTTGTATACAAGAAAAACATGACTCATTAGTCCAGCTGTAAGCATTCATTCTGATTTGATCCCAAGGACTCAGAAGCGCATGATTACCCAATATGTTCATACTTCTCTCTTGGGCACAGCCCCATCCATAGTACTAATTCTGCCTCCCCATACTGGCATGTTTTCCATTTTCCAGTGTTTTATTCCATACTGCAGCCTATGGCCTTCAGACCTCCATCCCCATCTTCCCCATAGATCCACAGGTCCTTGCTCGGCAAAAATAAATGTAACACATCTGCCTTGATCAAAAGAAGCCATATCAGCACAGGATCTAGCACATTGTTCCCTAAGTCATAGCTCCTATTTCCTTTTTCCTTATGACCTCCAGCTTCTAGTGGCAATGGTTGATTCAGCAGCTGTTCTGGTTCATTGTTGTGCACATAAACCTCAAACCTGTGGTCTTTATTCGGGCCCATGGCAACAGCCAGCTTAGAAACCTCCAATTTGACATGACTTTTTGTCCTGGCAGTGTTTTCTCAAGCACTTTTTATTATTCGCTACTATTCACCTAATAGTGCAAAAAGAATCTGGGAAATAGGGTGTAGACAATAATCTCATGCCAGTTTTGCACCTGCAGGCCAGATCCCTTCTCCTGGTTACTGGAGCCGAGCTTGGCTTACAGATGCAGCTGCAGATCCACTCCCAGCAGCTCAGTTCCCTGGGCCTCAGGTGTGAATGTGGCCCTGGGCTGCATGCAGAGAGCAGAGGAACAAAGAGTCAAATCCTTTCCATACTTCTGTCATTCAGCGGGTTGGGGCTGGGTGGGCATTGAGATCCCTTCCAAACCAAACTCCTCTGTGATTCTATGATCTCATGCTTCATCAGCAGTAGTCTGAGAGAGCATCCATACAACTCCTGGCCTTGGGAAAAGGATTGTAGCAGAATGAAAAATGAAATTTCAATAAAGGTAAGCAAAAGAAAATACATTTGAATAAAGGTAATAGTGCTGCATGCTAATCAAATTTCCAATGGTGTTGACAAACTGACTGCAGATCAGGTGAAATAATTGAGCCTCCTATCTTATCTCCAAAATACAAAAATTACTAGGCCCCTTGACACCATGCCCTGGAAATATCCAATATCCAAGCTGAGCTTGCTGGGACTCAGCAGGGAAACAGGAAGCCTTCAAATGAGTTTTGCTCTGTGCTCTCTGACATGAAGAAAAACACTTAAAAGCTTCTGCAGGCACTTTCAGGTCCTGTGCCACAAGACCAGAACCTTACCTCAATAGATCTTTTCCTGAATGTCTGTTTTAGAAACCAAACTTTAAGTGTTGCTGAGAAAGGACATTCCTCTGCATATTAGGCATGAATTGCTGAGTACCATAGGCTGGTGTAGCAAACTCCACATCTTTCTCACCTGTTCCATGAGCACTCACTGGTGTCACTACCTGGGAGAGGACATAGGTAGGTACACGTCATCACAAGGGCAGGCTGACCCAGCTCAGATTTCTGTCCTATTTTCTTCTGGTCTCCCATGAAACATGACCGCATCCGCCCTGACTGCACAGGGCAGCTCTCCTCCCCAGAGGCCCTTGTGGCTAAACTTGGGCACAGGTAGAGGTGGCAGTAACTGCTGGCAGTGCTGTCATTGTCTGCAGTGTGACTGGGTTACCATCCTCCAATTAGGATTCACCAGGATCAAAGACAAGGGCATCATCTGATTTTATGGTTCCCAAAAAGTATGAAGAATGGTGTTATACGGTGAAAAGTGATCCCCTGTGGTCTGCCGGTGTACAAGAATGAGAACTACCTTGCCATGGTATGCATTGAGTGTTTTGCAGCACAGCACCTGGATGCCAAGGCAAAACCACAGTAACAGCACAGACAATTGTTGGGCAAATTAAGTGGCAGTGAACCCATCCAGCAGCTGCTCACAGAGATCAACAGCCAAGTTAAAACACCAGACCTTACTGCCCAGCTCTCCTTCTAAAACAGCCAGGACCAAGTGCAGTAGGAGCATCACAGCCATACCAGTGGCACCAGATCTTTCTTTCTTCCAGATGTAGGCAAACCTCTTCCCCCTCAAACTTCCTTCAATGAGCAGTGAAACAAGCAGGGTATTACCCTGCACCCTCTTTATTTACTCTCTTTATTTATCCACAGAAGTAGCTGGTGCTTTGGGGGGATCTTCAGAGAACTCATTAGCCTGTTTAAAAAAAAAAAAAAATAGTAGTAGAAAAGGGGTGTTGCAACCTGGCTGTGGTTTTATTAGATGTGTTTGCGTTCTTATTACATGTTACAGTTTCCACTCAACAAGGAGAGTGAGCACACACCTACTGCGGGGAGCAGACCAGTGCATACCAGTCAGTACCTTGCTGCACGGATGCATACTTCTTGCCTCGTCTAAGGAAACACATTTAAACCCTAGAGCAGGTGTTTCAGGCTAACATATTTTATCTGGAACTCTTCAGGGGAGGGGGAAGAGGAAATCAGCAATTGCAGTGGCTGGGACAACATGGGGCAACCTGTCAAACTGCCTGCTGCTGTTGTGGGTGCCTCTCTAAATCATAGCCTGACACAAATGCATCTCCTCAACCAACACTTCTTTCTTCCATTTTTGGGAGTTTAGGGACACATTCTTGTTGGTTGTTACCAGCTGCCCACCTAATGGCTTTAGAAATGTCCAAATCAAGATCAGAGGAAGGCCACAAAAATGGTCCAAGGGATGGAACAACTCCCTTAGGAAGACAGGCTAAGAGCTGGGGTTGTTCAGCCTGGAGAAAAAAAGACTCTTGGGAGACCTGACAGTGGCCTTTCAGCAATCTAAAGGGGAGGTGTAAGAAAGAAGGGAACAGACTCTTTAGCAGGGTCTGTTGTGATAGGATAAGGGGAAATGGTTTCAAACTAAAAGAGGGGAGGTTTATACTGGATACAAAGAAGTTTTTACAGTAAGGGTGGTGAGGCAATGGAACAGGTTGCCCAGAGAAGCAGTGGATGCCCCATCCCTGGAGACACTCAAGGTCAGGCTGGACGGGCTCTGAGCACCTGATAGAGCTGTAGGTTTCCTTGTTCTTTGCAGGGAAGCTGGACTAGGTGACCATTAAAGGTCTCTTCCAACTTGAACAATTCTGTGATTCTATGAATATCCAGGAAGATCATCGTAACAAGTGGTCCAGAAATAAAGTCCTGACTGCTGATAATGCAGCAGAAAGAGTAAGCCCACCAGCACAGCTTCATCCCTCCCAGTGGCTGCATTCACAGGGCAGCAAAATCAATGTCTTTTCCCATGCTGTAAGCTCCCTCCATGCCCTCTTCTTCCATGCACTCAACTGATGGTTGAGTACAATCAGGAGTGAAACATGGGAGAAAAAAGGACTTTGTGAACTCTCATGGATATTATCAGCATTCACCACAGGTGACGTTGGTCTTCAGCACTACACTTGGTTTTCCTGATCTAGCTTTCCTCCTACAGAGAGGGCACTGCTCATCTTTCTTTGCCACCAGCAGCCAGCAGCCACCGCCGCAGGCTGGCTTGGGTTGTCCCAGGGTGATGTTGTCTTCAGCAAGAGCTCCTTAATGTGTAGCCTGTGGTGGAAACAGGATGTGAAGCACAGGATGGGCGTAGCAATTACTTTTATTGCTGTCCTGAAGGTGATACTATTCAAATCATATTACTGTGTGTATTGGCTGGGAGCCCAAAACGTGAACATTGGACCACAATAAAAGTGGATCTTTTTGGTTCCCAGATACAGAATTTTACTGCCAGTAGGTGAGTTGTGGGCGGCAAAACTTAGATGTGGCTCTGGTACAACCAGGTCCTGAAGCAGTTACAACCGCACAAAGACTGCACGTGAAGTGAGTTAAGTGATAATGCAGCTGTCCTGTGGGATGCCTTGTTCTGAAGCACACTCTGTACTGAGAGGATGGGTCTCAGCAGCTCTCAATGCCTCCCAGTACAGCACTCAGACAGAGTAAGGATATGAAACTTTCTGGCAAGGGAAGAGTCTGAGAAGGGTGGGAGAGCACTGAAGACTGTGGAGGTCTGGAGGTATGCAGAAAGCTAAAAGCACTTAGGATGATCAGCCAACAAATTTTGGAAAAACTACAAAAAAAGAATGAAAGTAAATTAACAAAAGGGAGCCTAAACTTCATTGCCTTAGACTTATCAACAGGATCACAGGCTGGAAAAGTGGGCCCATGAGAACCTAGTAAGGTTCAATAAGGCCTTGCACAAGGTGTTGCACTTGGGACTGGACAGTTCTTGATATGAGTACAGACTGGGAGATAAACTCCTGGAGAGCAGCTGTGCCAAGAAGGATGTCAGGGTCCTGCTGGACACGAGCTAGCAGTGTGCTCTTGTAGCTCAAGATGCAAATGGTATCCTGGGCTACATCACAAGAGGGGCGACCAGCAGGGAGAGGGAGAGGATTGTCCTCTGCTCTGCCCTTGTGAGGCCCAATTTGGAGTACTGCATCCAGGCCCGGGGACCCCAAAACAAGAAGGACAGGGTGCTCTTGGAGTAGGTCAGAGAAAGGCACAAAGGTGATCAGAGGGCTGGAGCACCTCTCCTATGATGAAAGGTAGAGGAAGTTGGGATTGTTGGGCCTAGGGAAGAGAAGGGAGACCTCACTGTGATCTTCCAATACTTGAAAGGAAATTACAAGCAGGAGGGGGACCATGCAGTGCCATACAGTGAGTGGGCACATTAACTGCTGAGCAGACAGACAGGACAGCACCTTGCTTCTTCCCCACAGTCCCTGTACATGAGCAGAGCTGCAACAATGTTTTGCAAAAACAGGGGTTCTGATGAGCTCTTTCACACACCTACACTTGGGCACAGAGAGAGAGAAACAAAACACCAAAAAGCCAGTACTAGCCCAAGGCCTGTTACTGCAATAGCAAAATGAAAGCTCTGGCTCATCCTCAGCTGCAGAAGCTTGGGCAATGCGATCTGTGGCATGCTGTGACCTGTGCAAGTCCGCATGTACTGCCTTGAGATGAGTCCATTACCTATACCTCCCACCCTCAGACTCCGCATCTTCCAGGAAGACAGGATGACTCGGCCAGCAACAAGTAAGGTGGAAGAAGGACATAGCAGATAGTTGCCCTGCTCATCCAGGGTACTTGGAAGGATTTTTCTACACAAAATAGCTCCATACTTGTAACAAATCCTCCTCAGCTCATGCCTGATTCTCTGCAGACTCAACGTAGTGCTCCTCCAGTACTGACTCCTCTTGGTGCCGCTGCAGCACATCAGCTTCCTGAGCATTGTGCTTCTTGGCTTTCTTGTGCTTCCCTGAGACACATCAGGACCCTCTGGCCCCCAAGGAGGATTGCTGAGGAATGGGCATATCTCAGCTTCCCTGTCTTGAGGGTGGTTCGTTCCTGGAGTAAATTCATGTTGGTTTGTTTCTGCCAGGGCATGACCCAGATTTCTGGGGAGAGGAAGTCACAGGGCTTGTGTGCGAGGCATCATGTGGGGGTGAGATCCTCAGTACCCCAATGTCCTCAATGACCAGTACAGTTCTGTTGCTCATCTTAGATCCAGACATTCCTTCATCCCACTTCCTCCCAGACAGGCAGGTCACCTTGGCTCAACAGGAAATATTGACTGAAGATATGATCCACGTTATATACCACAGGGATGACAGCGTGGAAAACAAGTTTGCACGCTGCAGAGGAAAGTGTGCATCGGAGATGCATCAAGTTCAAAGCTCACCTGGACTTGTCAGGTGCTTCAATAGCACATTGAATCTTCTATTCCTGACTCATTCCCAGGCATGACTGTCTTGATAATGTACTTCCAGGTGTCCTCAGATGCTAGAAGCTAGGAGCACACAGACTAGCTCAATTTCCACCAATCACTGAATTGGCCTCTGGGGCTTTGATTCTCACTGTAGAGTTGGTGACACTAAAACATAAAAATTCAAAAATATGACTAAAATAGCCATACTAATTCATATTATTTTCTTATGCTATCTTTAAAAATAATGAAAGTTCAGTAATAAAGGGATCAGTTCTTCAGCTGGTATGCCTTAGCTTATTTGGGGGTCCATATGCCTTCATAGAAAGATTGCCAAATTAATACTTCCAGCCTTGTTGTTTTGTTTGTACTCCAAACCTACTCCTTTGTCCTTCATTCCTTTTAAAAAGAAAGGTGCTACCTGGCACCAGCACAGACTTCTAGGTCTGTATATGGAGGAAAGAAGCTGTCACCCGTGCAGGTGCTGAGTGCTTGTTCCTGCTGAAGGAATAAGTTTATATAGCTGCCCACCTCTTGCCATCTGCACCACAATAGGATCCAGCACTCCCATCCCTCTCCTCGCCTAAACATCTAGTCTACTCCAAAACCTTTGTTGTCTTTGTAGATAAATGTACCTGAATCCTCCCTGCAAGTGACGTGATATCCTTGCTGTCCTGACTTGGGAAGGACAAGAAAGGATCATACATCCTTCGCCCTGGATGAGGGGAGTCTGTCTTACAGCACTTTTACTGCTGACACTAATCACAATCACTAGAAAGCAAGACCTTCTGGAGGATGAACTGTGCTAAGAGACAGACTCATTAGCCTTCGTGACTACCTTTCTCTCCCAATTAGCAGGGAAGCTCCAAACCACAGTCCCAGGGAGTGAAGCAAATCCCACATTTGGTGTAGATTTGAGCCTGTCCCACTTGTAGTCCCATATTGTTGAGGGGATCAGACGGACATAATCACCAACGGGGATGTTATCAGTGTTCATACGTTTCCATTTGGTTTTGTTTCCAAGAAAAAGGGCCATCAAATGCCCTTTTTCGAATCCATGCTCTAGCTCGAGAGAGAGGTTGGGACACAGCCAGCGCACATCTGCAGCTCAGCCTGATGCAAGGCAAGACAGACATGCCTGTGGGTGTTTTGTGTTCTTCACTGTGTTTTGTTCTATGGAGAGATCATGACTTTAGACCAGAAATGCTCTCAGTGCCACATATCACTCCTGGAGCCAGCAGTTAGCTGGATAACAGTTCCCACATCCTGACAGCAGAGCAGGTAATACATGGATGGAGGAAAGCACAGTGGGGAGCTCATCCCAGCCTTGCTTCTGGGAGCTCTTAGATCTCTTTTTCCGCAACCAGTAGCTCCCTGCTTCTGATTATTTTCCTATTTCTGGCTCTGCGTTTGTTAGCCAAAGGTGCAGCTCATCTAACAAGTTGCTGGTACATTCAAAGCACAATGTGCTATCCAGAGAAGATTAAACATGAAAAAACGAATAGTTTGAACTGAGTTCCTCAGCAAGATTTATGAATCTGTCTAACTGCAATTTAATAGCAATAAATGCTGCTGCCTTCTGAAGGCAGATGTATTCTGCTGTCATAGGTCCTGCTTACCATTGCCTTTAACACTCCTGTTCCCTCCCATCTTTTGGCATGGAAGGAAATCCAGCCTACTTTAGTGTGAGCTTTCCTCTTCCAAGAAGTGCCTTCAGTTTTTTTCTGCTTATACAAAGCAACCCAGCAACAGCAGTCTATGGCCCCCATCACAAAATCTGAATTAAATCTGCAGTGTTGCAAGCTGTGGCTGGTGTTTTTTGTTGATCATAGAGGGGGACTTGATTGCGAAGGGGTATAACTTGTGCTGTTTTGCCATGTGGAGGGTGGAACATGAATGGAATGGAATAAATGAATGGAATAAAACACCCCTACCCAGCTGGCAGAACAGGATATAAGAGGTTGTGGCAGGAGGATGCAAGATGAAAGATAGCAAGGTTGCTTCATCCAGCATCCTCTTTCCTATTCCCATCTACTTTCTTTCCCCATCCTTTCACCAGGAGGGTAGAGCAGGAAGAGCAGGGATGTAAGTGCACTACAAGGAGACATGGAGACATAGCTACCCAGCCTCTTCCCTCTGGCATGGTGAGGCAGCATCAGCCAAAGACATTTGGGGGGCGCAGGTACAGAGCTGTTTTCTTTCCTCCTCCCGTAGATTTTAAAATGGCACACCTATGATGAATAACCAAAAATCACCCCAGGCCCACATTTACACTTACACAGGCTTCGTCCAGCAGCAAGCACCTGCCTGAAACAGTCTTCACGCTTTATTGTGGCCCATACTGAAACAGCTGAGTCCTGGTAAACATTACCAGCATGCTCTGCAAGATGAGGTACACAGATAGCCACCTGCCTTGAGCCCCCACGTCCTATAAGCCTTGTATACAGACAGTATCCTGTTACCACATTACTTTGTTGACACTCCCTCATGCATAATGTGTCTGTGATTACTTGCCAGAGGCAAGAAGCAGAAGCCACTCCTCTCCTCTGCTCCTTAAATAGTTAAATGCTTTGGTCAGCTGGGAGCAAGCCTGACAGCTGGAAGAGGTGCTGCTCCCAGGACTGAGACAAGGCTGCATGTAAGTAAAGTGTCAGGGCAAGTATAACATTTCATAGCTGTTGTTTTGACTTCCTCTATGTAGTAATAAATAGACACTGCTTCAAATTTAATTTCTCCAATATTTTGGATATGCTCAGTGGATCTTCTTTCCCCCTAAAATGCTGTCCTCTTCAAAACAACTAGGTTTATCACTCAAGCTACTGGTTATTTTTGGAAAAACTTTTGAAAATTAGCTAGATATGGCATAATGCATGCAGCTCTAACAGTGTTTTTGTATCTTCTTGTGTGTTTGTGTATGTGGGGAGAGTAGAAGTTTAAGCACATGTATGTGTACGTGCATTTTTGTGTGTGGATTTGTGCCTACTTATGAGACAGGTGATAGAAGCATGTATATATGGTTGGTATGTGTGGAACACAACCTTCCACACAGACAAAAAATGGTCAAAATGAAAAATAATGCAGCCTTTAAGGTGTGGAAAAGCAATGGAGAGGGAAATGGATAGAAAGGGAAGTAGTCCCACCATGGAAAGAAAGGCAGATTTCTAACGTACCTAATTCAAGATGGGAAGGAGAAACAGATGTTTGAGGTCTCGAGGAGAGCTGATGGGCAGAGGCTGTAAGGGTGTATGGATCTGCAGACCAGAGGCACAGCATGAGACCTGTTTTCTCTCCCCTAGAGGCCTGGTGTGGCACAACTGCAGACACTAATCCTTCCCTAGTCAGCACCAAAGGCAGATCCTACCCTAGGTTTCCTCTTTCTCATTTTTGAGTGAATACTCAAGTTCTGTTTTTCTATGGTGCTGCAGTTGTGCTTGGCCCCACTGTCTGCTGGTTAAAAAACCTAGCAGACCTACTGTGCTGCGTGCTTGGCCTGGGGGGAATTTGGTGGCCATTAAAGCCAGAGGGAATTTGGTGGCCATTAAAGCCAGCGGGCAGCACTTTGCCCTTTCAGCTCATTATGTCATTTGCCTTAGGCCTCTCATTATTGTTTTCTGGGGGTTGGTACCTGCCCTGTTGCTTTATTCTGCTGTGTTTTGTGCAGGAGAAAAAACCATTACACATAAATGCACCCGCACACAAGTTTTATGTACATGCAGAATTTTACTGTGCTGAGGTGGCAGATGGCTCACTGATACCCTTCGTTGCAGACATTTTAAGTGCCGGTCCAATGTTTAACTAGCTTCACTTCTTGAGAGCACAAAGCACTGTACTCTTGGGTGTAACAGTACAAAAAGGACACACACAACTATTAGAGAGCATCCAAGGCAGGGCTACAAAGGTAGTGAGAGGCCTGGAAGGGATAAGAGAGGCTGAGGCAGAGCAGAGGAGCTGAGGGGAGGCCTGATGGTGGCTGCAGCTCCTCACTGCTCCTCCCTGCAGCAGGGAGCAGAGGGGCAGCACTGAGCTCTGCTCTCTGTGACAGCAACAGAATGCAAGCATGCTGGAGTTCAGCACGTTTCTGATTTTTGGATGATGCTCTTCGAAGTTGGCCCCAATCTTTATGGGTCTCTTCCAACTCAGGATATTCTATGATTCTTTATGATTCTTTAGAAAGTGGCGCTTTGTTCTCAATTTTTGAAACCCAGAAATTTGTGCTCATCAATAAAGGACTGATCCTGCTCCAGAGGTGACAGGAGTCATGGGAGCCAAGAGTCTGGGCTGTGGTCATAGAGTTTCTCTGTCAAGCAGATAAAGGGACATTAATACAACCCTGAGCTTTGGTCCTCCGCTAGTATTGCAGTTCACCATGGCAGTAGCCACAAAACCAAGGGCAGTTGGCATAGCAGAACAGGTTGAAGAGGCCCTGGCCACATCTTCACTTCTCACCCTGCAGTAGTAAATGTCCACCTGCCTCTGTGAGCAGGTTCCGTATAAACTTTTTGCTCAACTCATGGAACCGCCTGCGGTGGTTATCTGGCTATTAATAGATTCCAGGCAGAGCAGTCACCTCCCAGCCAGCATAGTAAACACCTTCATTAGAGGATAATAGTTGCAAGAAGGAGGAAACCTAACCAGGAATAGCTATTTTAATCATCCAGGATGTTCAAGCAATTGCAGACACCCAGCGTTCAGGTGACTGGCTCATCCTAGCCAGATGGAGAGGAAATGCCTTCCTTCCTTGAATCAGGAGCACTTACCACCATCCCAGTACAAGGCACAAGGACAAAAGGTCCACTGCCACCAGTGCCTGCTCTGGAGAGATCAAATAGGATGAGAAAGGAAAGGAGGCTGCCAGCTGGGAACCTAGCTGAGATTTTCCATGGGTAGCGTTCTAGAGTTCATCAGAGAATTTTCAGGGCCTTTTATTCTGTTATTCACATCCAGCTCTTTAAATGATTGAATGAGATTTTTGGAAGAGGTCCAGCCTTCAAGTGTTATAAGTCCCCTGAGTTTTAGAGTTGCACTGTCAGTTTGTACAGGTGCTTTGCAACAGAAGTGCTTAGTAGGTCAACCAGTGCTGGCTGCAAAGTGCAAAGTGATGAAAACAGAAGTAAGGAAAGTAAATGATTTAAAATTAGTGGAAGTTACGTATTTGGGATAAAACTCTT